CAAGACGTCCTGGCTTTCGTGACATCCTGGGTTCAAAATGTCATAACTGAAGCACGGCAAGCCCTTCTCGGTCAAGCAATCCGACAGCCTTTTATTCGTCCTAACCGGGCCGTCAAACATGGAGATCGCACCCAATATGATGTTGCCCTCTCGCCGGGCTCTATTTCGGAAGACCTCATAGACACCACGCCAATTCTCGGGAAATCGAACATGTCTCGAATTGAGAGGCGGCATTGTAACAGGTTATGCTGCTCTCTCCCGGAGCCCTAGTTGAATGAAATAGGCTAGGACAAGTTATAATAAATAGTACATTCTATGACGATAATGCAGCCTTGGACGTGGCTTGCTTCAACACTACAGTTCAACATGGATGTATTTGTAAAGTTTCTCATTTCTTAGAAGCACCATGAACGACATGACGGTTCTGACCGCACGTATGGCTACTAAGATGAGGGCTATTACCTGATGAGCCGGTGGATTCACGAAATAAGCAGCTGCCTAACCAGTCAGATCAGAACTCATGTCAAGAATGCGTTGGTCAGAAGCATCCTGACATGACCGTTGTGACTAGTCACGAATGGCTACGGCTCAGGGCCCAACAGAGCCACAATGCTCGGCAGCTCCAGTCAACCTGGGCCAAAGAATGATGAGGCGAAGTGCAAGACCAAATATAACGTGCAACAATCCGAGAAAGTACAGAACCAGAACTCATGTCGGGAACCCCACCGCAAGACCAGTGTGGCACCAACGGCTCAGGGCCCAACACAGCCAGAATGCTCGGCAGCTCCAGTCAACCTGGGCGAAAGAATGATGAGGCGAAGTGCAAGACCAAATGTAATGCGCAACAATCCGAGAAAGTCACTCGCATCTCCCCTTTTCTTCTCATTCACACTCCCACTCTTGGACGAAGCATCATCGCGACGGAGATCTCGGCCTCTTCTTCGCCGTGGGCTCCAGCCTCGCCTTTGGCACCTTCGGCTCGACCACGACGGCTTTCGCCTTTGGCACCTTCGGCTCCGCCACGACGACGGCTTTCGCCCTCGGCACCTTCGGCTCCGCCACGGTCACGGCTTTCGCCTTTGGCACCTTCGGCTCCGCCACGACGGCTTTCGCCTTTGGCACCACCTTCGGCTCCGCCACGGCTTTCGCCTTTGGCACCACCTTCGGCTCCGCCACGACGGCTTTCGGCTTTGGCACCTCCACCGCCTTCGCCGGCACCGCGGCAGCAGCTCTGGCTTTCGCCTTCAAAGAGAGAGGCTTGTGGCTTGTGCCCTAGTCCCAATGTGTAATGTTACAAATACGGGGAAGCGGCTTAGGGCTTTGTTTTGTTTGATCACCCAGCCTGATGCTCCTCCATGAAGAGCTTCGGCACAGCTGTCAAAGGATCAATCTCAGATAGAAAGTCAAATCGCTAAAAGAATGAATCATGCGACAAATGGGGTGAACAAAACAAACTATTAAAACCCACACGATGGCCAATTTATAATAATGGCAGGTGGCGGCCACGTCAGGCTTTCTCTGCAGCAGCCCCGGAACCCAGCAATCCAGAATCTGTTGGCCGAGGAGTCGACGCTCAACCGACTCCTGTTCGACCACCGCCATGATCGTCGGGACGAGCTCTGGGATGCATCTCGAGGTCCTCAGAAGTGTCATGAGAACCATGGTGCGCACTGAGTCGCCCTGCCTCAAGAAGAGATCAAACTTCTGAGCGACGCCGTCCATGCCCATGATCCTGTCCAGGTCCACGGCCTCCAGCTTGGCGAAACTCCCGAGGAGAGGCCGGAGCTTCGACGTCGAAGAGCATGACAGCAAGTCCACATGGGCTTGATGCAGGTCCTTGCTTGTGTAGGATTCATCTATGCATGTAGCTTCGACCCAGATAAGACTTATAACTAAAGTAATCAAACCTTGGGGAAATAAAAGCACGTGCTCAAAGTAGAAACAAAGCTCTGCTCTGAAGCCCGAGCCCTTGCCAGCAGCTTTCCCAGCATCGCCAGCACCAGTCTTCGGACGGCCCTTGGTTTGTGGAGATGCAGGCCGCAAGTCAGCACAGTGCATAAAGATGCAGAGAGGTCACCTCCCATGACGATGAGGCTGCCTCCGGCCGTTCAGCCTGAGAGCATAGAAGCTTGAGGAATTTCAAAACCAATGCCTTTGTCTGATTTCTGTATCCATACACTCGGCCAAGAAACTGCCATAGGTCGTGCTGGAACAGGCGCGGTCGGCTCAACCTGACAACGCAAAACAACACGAGAGCTTGAGTCACATGAACAATGCCCGAAAACTCACTCATTCAAACAGGAAGCTGCTGGCTGCTTCGCCAGCTGCTGCTGCAGCGCCGCCATCTGCTGCTGCATGGCCGCCAGCTGCTCCTTCCGGGTTCTCGAAACGAAGGACAGGTTTCCAATGCAACGAAACCTCAGCTGACCTCCCCCAATTACTTAACTGGGCATTCCCCTGAAATGAAATGTCGCTGCAAACAGTTACCGATGCAAACAAAGTGGCAGGCACGACCACTGGAGCTGCTGCTTTGGCAGCATTTGCAGCTTCCAGCTCCCGCCTCATGCCAGCGATCTGCTCCTGCACTGCATCCAGCTGCTCCTATCAGGAACTTGGATGGTAAAAGGACGACGTCAACAGCGGTTGCATTGCACTCCCAAACCCGAACCCTAAAACCCAAAGCCCTAAAGCATTTTAACTCAATCCCCGAACTCCGTTAAACCCTGTGCCCTTCCTTGGTCTTCCTGGCCGCAAACTTCTGCTGACCTTTGACCTTGCTCGGCCGATTCGGATTTCCAGGCATGGCTGCGGCAAGTCGAGGATCGATGGTAAAGCTAGTGAGCTGATGCTCTGAACCATTATATTACAGTGAGCTGATGCCCCGAATTGTGAGCTGTGGCCCATTAAACTAATGACCTGATGGCCCGAATTGTGAGCTGTTGCCCATTAAGCTAATGACTGCTGAGCTGATGGCCCGAATTGTGAGCTGTTGCCCAAGCTAATGAGCTGATGCCCCGAATTGTGAGCTGTTGCCCATCTAACAGAATCTAATGAGCTGATGCCCCGAGTTGCTCAATGCTACTGAGCTACTGCCCCAGTGGACTTGCTGCCCTTGTTAATTGTTGCATGTGAGCTGCTGCCCTACGAACCTGATTCTGTGCTCTGCTGTCCTGACATCATGTCATCTTATGCAGCATGACATGTCATGGCAGGGCAAACAAATTTGAGCCCATGCGGAAGCATACGCGCAACCGCTGCTGTCAACTCAAGACATACATGACATGCTCCGACTGGTTCAAGAACGGGTGCAAAGCGGGTAGGTCCCTGACGGAGTGAATCTGAAGCTGCTCTTCTCTGGTGCAGCCGGCGGCCCAGCTCCAGATCTGGCGGCCAGTGAGGGAGGCGGGCTGCTTTAGCTTTGTCTTATACACGGACTGATGGTTAAGGCTTTAAAGGCTGGTATTGAGCAGGGATGAATGCCAGGCTTCGAATTTCTTATTGAGGATTTCGGGCTTTTAGAGTCTTGTATTCTTATAGGGCTTAGGGTCTTAGGGTTATTACAAGGGCTCAGACCCTAGAGTTTCGGGGTGAGGGTTCTCTTGTTGCAGTTTGCGGGGCCTGTCACGTAGATGGGCAGGGTTATGAACTCAAAGTGCTTGGAATTTCAATTTTGGTTGGGAAGCTTAGGGTGCAGGGTTTAAGGCTTAGGATTTAGGGCTTAGGGTTCCGGGTTTAGGGTTCAGGGTTTAGGGTTCAGGGTTTAGGGTTCAGCGTTAGGGCTTACGGTTCAGGGTTTAGGGTTTAAGGGTTCAGGAACAACGCCGCATCAAGTGAGAATGAATCCACAATCCGAAATCTAACATCCCGCTCTCAAAACCCACAAAGCCCAACACCAAACACACAAAACTATCTATTCGTGTCGGCGACCATCGGTCCCCGACGAGGTCCATCGGACCCCACCCTGAGGTCCATGGGACCCCACCCTGAGGTCCATCGGACCCCACCCTGAACTGAGGACCATCGGTCCCCCCCTGGGGTCCATCGGACCCCCAACACAAACCTTAATCCGAAGGAAGCCCTGAACCCCTCGCTCCACGTGGAAAGCAACCAGGCCGGTGCCACCACGGCCGTCACCGCGAAGTCAAGACGAGCAGGCAGGGCTTTCGGGCTTCAGAGGTTTAGGTTTAGGGTTGGAGGGGGGTTTGGGGTATGGTGCGAATTCCGGGCCGGGTGAGGGATGCAAAGGTTTGGGAATGTTCGGAAGTACGGGTATTTACCATTTTGTTCGTCTCAAACTATGTATATATGCATGGACATATACCTTAGTTTTTTCTAACTAAGAGGCTCCGTGGCTTCACGACACACACATACACATGCATGCACATACATACATTCATCCATATACAATACATATTATATATATATATATATTTATTGTATTCTATAAACTGCAATACTATAGTATGGAATGTAATAAAAGAACATGTTCTCATAATGATAGCGAATATATATATATATATACATATAGATATATCATATATAGAGAGAGAGTATAGATATAATTAGTAAGTAATATGATATAATTTAATATGATATAAATATAATGTAGTATTAGTATTATAGTATAAATACAGTATAAATGATATATATATATATAGAGTAGAGAGAGAGAGAGATTTAGGGGGGAGGTTTGTCGAAGGTTCGGGGGTGGGCCCCCCCCTGTGGCGAACCCAGGCGGGGACCGTCCGGCATTACTTCCTTTGGGCCATCCCCCTCTGTTGGGCCCTGAAAAAGGCCTTCGTCACGGTATGGAACTGTTAAAGGGTGCAGGGTTTGGTTGTACAAGACCTTGGGGAATCGTACTTGTAATATACCTATCGTCTCCATTGTAGTTCCTTTCAGTTTTTTTGTGCTTAAACCAACTTCATAGTTAGGCTCCTACAAGGTGGGATATTTGGAAGGTCTGGATAGCTCGGGGACCAGGTCTCAATTCGAGGAACCGATGGACGGCGACTTGTCGCTGACTGGCCGATAATAGCCTGGACTGGGCTTAGGCTTCGGCCCAGAAAGCCCAACAACACCCACCAGACAAGGGGTTGAGGGTATAGGGCTTAGGGCCCTTAACAACGTATATCCCAGACCAACTAAATTACGTTTTGAGGCATTGAGAATACATTCCGTAATTCAGGTGTGCTGCTCTCTCTGGGTACCATCGGTTATAGCTCCCCTTTTTATAACGCCACCTTTTCGGAACTTATGTCACCATGATACCACAGGATGCGCTAACTCTAAACAGATGTGCTACGAGCCATACTACCTAGGATTATTGAAGTTAAAGCGGTAGTGGTCGATATAGGTCGCCTAAGCTCCAACACCTAAAACCCAAAGGTACGCCCTAAACCCTAAACCCTACATTCCGACACTTTGTGCCGCGGAGGGGGAGTCGGCCCAGAGGATTGCGAGAGTGAGGGGTCCCCAAAGGATCCCGAAATACCCAAAAAGGGGGGATACTTACCGAAACCCTAAACCCTAAACC